CACTCCGGACAATCTGAAGGAAAAAGAAGTGCCACCCCCTCCGCGACCTCCAAAGGAACCTCTCTCTCACTACGACGATTACTGGCTCGAGTACTATAGGCCATTAGCCGTGTCGTCATTCTCGAAAATATTCTCTTACAAAATGAACTCAACGCTCCGCTATCTTCCATTCCGGCCTGGTTCCGGCTCCCCCTACGATATTAGTCCGTTTGTTCCCCGGATCCCGCACGATCAGGTCAACCGAGAACGACACCCACCACGTAGCGTCAAGATCCAGGAACCGCTTAAGACCTCCATCGATCCAGCGGGCCGCCCACAACTCGGTAGCGCAACATCCCAGTCCAGCTACAACTGGATTCATCAGCCGCCTTCCGCTGATAAATTACCACCGTCTGCAGGTATTATGAAATCTACATCATTCGGACTGCCTCACTCCTTCAGTTCCATGCACTCTTCTCAGGAGTCGACGGTCACCACTCCGAGCAAAACGCAAATTGCGCAGTGGACTCTTGGCCAGCTGGTGACCGACTCGCTAAACCCGTCTGTGACCGCTGCAGAAGGAGAAGAATACGAACGCTACATTAACCATCCTTTGAAGGTTCCACTTGTTGTGACCTCTGAAGACGAGCGGACTGCCACTTCCATTCGTGAGCATGAATCCAGTCTGGATTTACTGGAATATGCAAATAAGTGCAACGTAGAAGAGGCCACTCTGGAAGCTAATGCCGAGGAGAACCTTGCGGATTATGCTGAGTTTTTGAATGTCTCGGAGGGAGGCCTGACTGTGGTGGCCGAGGATTATGAAAAGAAACGTTATAAGCGCTATCGACAATGGCTGAGGGGCAAGAGTCTCTTCAAACAGCGGGTTGATATGTAACCTCCTGTCATGCGTTGTTGTCGTTCATGATTATATAACGGATACATTCAAATCAATTCTATAGTCAATACAGAGCGTACTTTCTGGCTTTTCGGCCAATCGAGCCCGCCATACAGTTGTGCTAGCAGTGCATATAGACAGTCCTCACTGTCTTGAGGGTTTTGATAATTGCGTACATCATATATTCATGGAAGATTATTTAATGATTGGCGTCTGATAGGGCAGCTAATCCTCATCATGAGACAGACTGTCTGACCCTAGTGTCGACTTGAGCATATGCAAAGTTTCGTCATGTTCGGCATAGGGCAGCTTTCACCTGGCCGGTGAATAACCCGAAGACGATATGGCCTCATAATTATTATACAGTACTTATACCGTAGTAGTAGTAGTAGTAGCAGTAGTAGTAGTAGTAGTAGTAGCAGTAGTAGTAGTAGTAGTAGTAGTAGTAGTAGTAGTAGTAGTAGTAGTAGTAGTAGTAATAGTAATATTCTACCGATCTACCGGATCATCTATTGTCCCGGATCCGTCTTGGATTGGGGCTAGTCGGCAGCCTCACGTGCGCCGGTGCTTTCTCGCTCCCGCCCGTCGGCCCCCCTTAAGTCTACTATCTATCTAGCCTTCATTCCCGATAAGATACCACCTGGTTGTTGTACAAGGGAGTTCGCAGCTTCGATGCATCTGGCATTTGCAATATCTTGACAGCACGAGGTCTAGCCCCTTCAATTCTCTGGTACCAGCCAACCTCTGTTTGGATCCATGTGTCATCGACCCTTCCGACTGTCCCGTGGCCCCTCCCGGTCGCTGCATCACGTGCTACTCCGATAGTGACGTCGTACTGCTACTGCTTGCTCCTCGCGCTCTTACAACAGTCGAGGATCTCGCGAGGGCTGCCCGTCTCTGCGCAGCACACCAGAAGTTGGGCCTCCAGGAGCAACCCTCCTCCGTTCGATGTCCGCGATTTGTGGCCACCTATGGATCACCGCGGTTCTTTTTTCTTCTTTCTGGTAGTTTTCTACCTGCTTCTGAGCTCGCAGTCGCATTCACCTCTGGTCTCTCAGGATGAAGAGCACCAGAGAGAGCTTGTGAGGGAGCGGAACGCGCTTCACATGTTGAATGAGTCTAAGTATGGCGACTTCGATCCGGGAACCGACCGATGGCTCCCATTTTCGGGTGTCAGGAAGAACGATAGCTATGCTTGGGATCTTCTTCCAGATGTTCAGGATAGAGCTCGGTTTCAGCTGCGGTCCACCATGGCAGAAGCGGGCTTGAGGCCTCCCAAGGCCCTTGCCGTGCCTGACGCTTTCTCCGGTCTTAACTTGACCCAATTACTCCTCCCAGTCTATCGTAATGCGACCGGTAAGCTGCGCGGGGAATGGGTACGCCACAAACAGAACAAACAACATGCCCTGTTGAACACGACTGCAATTGCACTGGAGAACGAATACTTCGAGCATGAGTTCAGTCACAATGTTACGGGGGATAGTGGCACTTTTTACCTTGATCTCCGGGAGGGCGGTGGTGAGGAAGTCCAATTGCCCGAGGGCCAGGTTCGGGAGATCCGAGCAACTTTGGCTGTGGAGAGCGGCGATTTCTGGGGTAACACCTGGTATCTGTCGCTGTATGGTGTTCATTTCCCGGAGACGGGCGCTATTATCTTGACTACAACCAGCGAGAAATTTGGTGGCGTATTCGCATTACCGCATCTGATGATGTCGCCGGACGCATACAACCTCACCCACCAGCTTCTCGTCAAATCCCTCTCGGACACTATATCTGAGAAGCAGAATCGACCTCCTACCCTATTTCCTTGGTCCTCACTTGTCGGGACGGAGCAGGTGGAATACCCTGCTCCAAAATGTGAACATATCGTCTACCTCCAGCTGCATCCCGTCGCGATCCATGGCTACCTTACAGATAAAACGATCATCGAGCAGATAGAACAAGAGTTGAGATATCCAATGGGAGCCCCCATTCCGTCTCCTCCGCCCTTAGTTATGTCAGCCGTCGTGTTCTCGCCTGATTGTGGGTACATCCTAGAGACTAAGGGAGCTCCTGACTTCCCACCGACAGAAGCACTCTATCTATCGGGGCCGAAGATGGAGGAATTTGGCAAATTCTCTGCTCGCATCATTTTTATGATCTCTGCCTTTTCCGTTGGCCAGATCGCATTACTGTTGCGTCAAATCAAAGAAGCATCCACGCCATCTACTAGGAGCCGGATCAGCTTCTACACGATCGCGCTCATGGCGTTCGGCGATTCATTCGTACTTGTTTTCATGCTACTAGAGCTTTATCCTGCCGTTTCTTTCCTTGTTATGACAACAGCATCCTTCTTGACCTTCCTCTCGGTCAGTTATATCGGAATGAAATTCATGATGGAAATCTGGGCAGTTCAGGCCCCGGAGCGAAGAGAACAAGAACGTCGACCGAATCCTACTACGCGATCAGGGAACCTTCCACTCCCTGCTACTACGACTAGAGTGACTGATACTGGCGCAACGCCTATCATTTTGACCCCCGACCAGGACCCGCCAGCAGAGGAAAACGAGCCTCCTGCGAATCGGGGCGCTACGCCGACTGCGCAGGATACACGAGGTGATGTCGGTGCCATGTACGCCCGGTTCTACTTTATCTTGTTTGTCCTCCTTATCATATCTGTCTGGTCTTTCATTTGGCCAAACCGTATGGGGGCCATATATGCTCGGACCCTCGGATTTGTATATCTATCCTTCTGGGTACCCCAGATATATCGAAATGTTATGCGCAATTGCCGCAAAGCACTGCGCTGGGAATTTGTGGTTGGCCAAAGTTTCCTTCGACTCTTTCCATTCATCTACTTTTTGACTGCACGCGGGAATGTGCTTTTCATTCGACCCGACTCGACCACAGCCCTGGCACTGGCTGGCTGGGTGTGGGTTCAGGTCTGGGTATTGGCTAGCCAGGACATTCTGGGACCTCGCTTCTTTGTTCCTAGTGGGTGGGCGCCACCCGCCTATGACTATCACCCCGTGCTACGCGATAGCTCTGGATCCGGCGACGATCTTGAGTCTGGCGGAGTCCTTCCAATCGGGGCCTTGAGGGCTGACGAGCGGGAGTACTCCATGGAAGCCAAAGATGAAGATAAGCAACGGGCGAAAGATAAGAAGAAGGCAGTGTTTGACTGTGCCATCTGCATGCAAGAAATCGAGGTTCCCGTCCTTGCAGCTCCGGGCGGTGCTGGCAGTAGCAGCATGACGGACGGGGCCACGAGTCTCCTCAGCCGACGGACATACATGGTCACCCCATGTCGGCATATCTTCCATAGTACCTGTCTCGAGAGCTGGATGCGACTTCGATTGCAGTGCCCCATTTGCCGAGAGTCTATTCCACCAGTGTAGGCTAATGGGAAGCACGAACTGTACCTGTATAGTCAGCATGGCCGAATTTTTAACAGATCTCTGGTGCCCTGGTGGCGGACATACCGTGAGTGACAGGTCAGCTAGCAAGTGTATTGAGTGTCATAAAGCACCGATCCGATGTATGATTACGATCGAATATGAATACTCAGAGACTAGCCTACAAACTATCTTGAAGTGATTTTGAATGTCGGTCCAGGCAGAGTACTTGGTTCTTCTACTCACCTACAAACAGAAGTCCAATAGATCAACAGCCCGAGTGCGTAGATGTAGTATCTCACTCCAAGTCTTGAGTTCATTCGCACAGCATCCCGCGATAGCAGCCAATTGACATGGGCTCGGCATTATAGCTCGATTCGCTTACTTGGATGTCAATACTATCAAAAAGGCTTTATGATCAATTAGCTGATTGCTGGATTAATACACCTGTTATCTTAACTCCCGCCGGGGGGTTAAGTATAAAGCCGGTCAGTGGGGGTGATGATATGCAGGTGTACATGATACTAATTTGTAAATCTACCCATTACTACCCTGATGTCATCAATTAATCCGTCCTACTACTTCCCAGTATGAATGAACAACAACAATTATCATATGCTCGGAAGTGAAGCTCAACAGCCGGATTCTTCTAGTTCCTCTGATTGCGTAGTAGCGGGTTTCTATCCAGGGTCGGAAGTTCCCCGCGTTATCATCGCTTCAATCTTATTCTAGTCACCTTGCGCCATGATATGATTGATATGTCAGGTTACTCTAAGATCAGTGATAGCGGGGTCCTCATCGAATGCGGCGGGGTAGAAGATTCCGTTGCATTGATGAATAGACGGACCATCACATCCCGTCCGTCGGCCGGGATGGCAGACAACTCGGGATGTCCCACCCCGCATAAACTTGCCGATATACGGAGTGTTTGCATCCGAAACAGACTATATCCGATACATAAAGAGGGTCATGGTACAAGTTGACCACAAGATGCAAAAGCCATTGTTATAGTTACATGTTTTCCTCAATTTTCCGAGTTTCTTTCCCAAAATTTGTCCGCACCTATAGCCGGAAGAGGATGAGTGACACAACCAGCTTTTTGGACCGCCTTGCGGCTCTCGACACCAATACAGTATCCGATGCATTAGATGTCCTCCACCTTCGTGGAGCCACATACGGTCTCCGGCCTCTCTGGAACTGTCCGAAAATTGTCGGCCGCGCTAGCACGGTCGAAGTAGGCCCGAGGATCGGGACAGCCCCAACACCTCATCCTTTTGCTCCTACTATCGATGCAGTAAGCAGTGATGACCGGATCCTTGTCATTGCCGGCGGGCTGGAGGGTGTCTCCTGCTGGGGTGATATCATTGCAAACGCCGCAAAGGCCAAGGGAATCCGGGGTACCGTAATCGATGGAGTATGCAGAGATATCGACGGTAGCGTCGAGGTCCAGTATCCACTCTACGGACGTGCTGTTACGATGATCAGTGGCCGGAGTCGCATAGTCTCTGTCAGCGCCGGAAAGCCAGTGCGTGTCTGCGGCGGTGTGACAGTCGAGCAGGATGACTATGTTATCGCGGACGCGTGCGGTACTGTCTTCGTCCCTGCAGCACATATCTCGATCGTCCTCACCCTTGCGGAGCAGATCAACAACCGCGAAAACCAGATGGTTGAGGCAGTACGCTCCGGGCAGACGGTGTCGGCGGTCATGCGCGACTCGCGCTTCGAGCAACTCCGGCAAGAGACCGTGTCTGCTGCCGCTGCTGCCAGCCCGCTATCGCAAGAGAATCCCCGGAAGGCGAGTGCGGAGGATCAGGAGTTGGTTGGACTTTTGAGGGGTTTGGACTCGCCAGCAGTCTCGGACGCACTAGATTCCTTGGGAATCGCAGGACAGGCCTGGGGTATTCAGCCATTGTCTTCTTCGGGTTCGAGTAACCGGCGTGTTACTGTTGGTCCGGCATTTACCGTCCGTTATGTCCCTGCGAGCGACCCGCCTGGCAGTGTAGGGGATTTCCTGGATGATGTGGCGGTTGGAGATGTGGTTGTTATTGATAACAGTAGCCGCACAGACTGTACAGTCTGGGGCGATATAATGACTCACTATGCCGCGCTGCGGGGGGTTGCGGGCACGGTGATCGATGGAGTGTGTCGCGACGTGGATCTGGCCCTTGAGGAGGGATACCCATTATACACTGCAGGACGATGGATGCGTACAGGAAAAGATCGGGTCCAGGTCGGGGAGGTCAACGGGCCTGTTGGTATTGGGAAGGTCCGGGTAGAGTACCGGGACATCGTTGTCGCTGACTCCAATGGCGTCGTGATCATTCCTCGGAATCGCGTGCGTGAAGTAGCGGAGCTCGCCCGCAAGATCTCGGAGAGTGAAGCCCAGATCCGTGAGTTGTTGACGAAGAGGGGGGCTACGCTTGCAGAAACACGCCGACAACTCGGATACCACACACTGCAACGGAGAAAAGGAATAGAAAGAATACCCTAGAGGGGCTAATTTGAAGCGTTTCGGTTTCTTAGAAGAAATAGAAATGATTGAATCAGGTGCTGCCGTATAAGGCTTGGTTTGGCTCGAAAGACTGAAGGGGACTGTAAATTGCACGCCTACGCAGAGTAGTGTTCGTAACCTTCATAATAACGAGAATGTTTACCATTTCAAAGATATATCAACGGTCAAATAAGCAGCTTTTATTATCACGTCAATCTCAAATGAGTAATCGTCACGTTGGTAGAAGATACTACTATTAGTAGATGATTATATATTTTGTCTAATGCTAACTGTGGGTATCATCATATTATAGCCCTCATGTCAATACTAAATCACCATCAGCTGGGAGATACAACCTGTGTAGTACTAGTAGAGACACGAGTAACTCAACTAGTATATACATCGTGTGCAATCCATAGTACAAAACTGGTAGTAGTAACATATTTCGTACTGGACTCTCGGTTACTGGTAGACCATGACATCCAACCCCAGCCTGGATTTATCAGTCGTAATCAAGTGTGATCAGGTGTGACTGTCTAGCAGAACTCTCCAATGGTAGACACTCAGTCTAGATCTGCTTCAGGCTGCCTTGTAGTACTCCAGACTCCTTAATAGGCAGCAGAGGTGGGTGCCTGCAGTGGTTGCTGCCTAATTGGTACTAGTAGTGTTCTATCCACCCCCACATAGTGCATTCACGTGACATTCCACCGACCGGCGTTCTCCACATCTTTATCGTCTCCATAGCCAGCCTGGTCAGTTGCACTGCCTAGTACTTGGTCCTATAAATGCTTGGTCCTACCCGTTCACCGACAAACATCCTATACAGAGCACATCGATGAGCCATGGATGAGGAAGAGACTAGCGATCATGAAAAGTCCCACTCCTACAGTCAACCCTCACCACAAGACTCAAACCTGGACGAGAAATACCCAAACCGTCCCCACAATCACTCCCAGACATTGCCATTTCACGAGCTCTTTGAGACCCTGTTTAATCCATTGAGTGATCTCTCCAAGAAGCCCACAGGATATGCCGTTCCTCGGCGGAAAGTCGGGCCTCATGGCCAGTCGGCAGCAAACCTTACTCCACACGAAAAACGACGGGATGTCATTGAGCGGTTCATCTCACGATGGCGGAAGGAGGTGGGCGATGATATCTATCCTGTCTTCCGGCTCATTCTTCCGGACAAAGACCGTGACCGCGCCATGTACGGTATCAAAGAGAAGGCCATCGGTAAGTTACTGGTCAAAATCATGAAGATCGACAAGAACTCGGAGGACGGCTTCAACCTTTTGAACTGGAAGCTGCCAGGGCAATTGGCTACCTCGCGCTTTATGGCGGGGGACTTTGCCAGACGCTGCTACGATGTTATCTCAAAACGGCCCATGAGGACGGAGGTGGGCAATATGTCGATCGAGGAGGTGAACGACAAGCTCGACCAGCTTTCAAATGCCTCCAAGGAGGACCAACAGCTGCCCATCCTGTCGGAGTTCTACCGAAGAATGAACCCCGAGGAGATGCTGTGGCTGATCCGCATTATTCTTCGGCAAATGAAAGTCGGGGCTACAGAGCGAACGTTATTCAATGTATGGCACCCGGATGCTGCAAATCTCTATAGCATATCCAGTAGCCTTCGACGTGTTTGCTGGGAGCTGCATGATCCGAACATTCGACTGGGGGCTGAAAACAGTGGCATTTCTCTGATGCAATGCTTTCAGCCCCAGCTAGCTCAGTTTCAAATGCAGTCCTTTGATCGTATGATTGCCCGGATGCGGGGTACAGAAGAAGACCCTGTATTCTGGATTGAGGAGAAACTCGACGGGGAGCGTATGCAGCTTCATATGCAGTCTGACAGCTCGGTGGCAGGAGGAAGGAGGTTTCGCTTCTGGTCGAGGAAAGCGAAAGATTACACCTACCTCTATGGAAAGAGCCTCGAGGACCCCAATGGTGCCTTGGCCAGACATCTTAAAGACGCCTTTGCAGACGGTGTCAACAGTTTGATTCTGGATGGTGAAATGATTGCTTGGAATCCTGAGCAGGGCGCCCCTGAACCATTTGGCACGTTGAAGACCGCCGCATTAGCCGAACAGAGAAACCCATTCTCGAATGGATCACGGCCGCTGTTTCGTGTTTTTGATCTACTCCTGTTGAACGGGCACGATCTGACCAGGTACACTCTTCGCGATCGCCGAAATGCCCTGGAGAAGAGTGTAAAGTCAGTTCATCGTCGGTTCGAAGTCCATCCTTACGAGGAGGCTACAGATAAGACCCAGATCGAAGCGGCGCTTCGAAGAGTTGTTGCGGAGGCTTCAGAGGGACTAGTGCTCAAAAACCCGAGATCCCCCTACCGCCTCAATGAAAGACATGACGACTGGATGAAAGTGAAGCCTGAATACATGACAGAGTTTGGGGAGTCCCTGGATCTGATAGTTATAGGCGGCTACTATGGTAGTGGTCATCGAGGAGGGGGACTTGCAAGTTTTCTGTGTGGATTGAGGGTCGATAATGCTAGCTCTTCGCAAGGGAATACGTCCACCAAATGCTATTCTTTCTGCAAGGTCGGGGGAGGCTTTACGGCAGCAGACTATGCGAACATTCGTCATCATACTGATGGCAAATGGATGGACTGGAACCCCAAAAATCCGCCAACAGCATACATTGAGCTGGCGGGTGGCAGTGCACAGCACGAGCGTCCAGATCAGTGGATCAAACCAGAGGATTCGGTGGTCCTCTGTGTTAAAGCAGCATCAGTATCGATCAGTGATCAATTTCGGGTCGGTTTGACATTGCGCTTTCCGCGGTTCAAGAGATTACGCATGGATAAGGACTGGAAGAGCGCGCTTTCCATGCAAGAGTTCCTGGATCTGAAGTCAAATGTGGAGCAAGAGCAAAAGGAGAAGGAATTCAATGTTGAGAATTTCCGCAAGAAACGGGTGAAGCGACCAAAGAAAGCCTTGACGGTTGCAGGATACAGCCCTAGTGCAGAGGTAAAGTATGAAAGACCGTCAGGGCATATCTTCAACGGGTTCAACTTTTTTATTTTGACCGACTCGGTAGCCCCGATCAAGAAATCAAAGGCGGAGTTGGAACAGCTTGTCAAATTGAATGGAGGCAAGATATATCAGACAAACAAGGCTGCTCCCAACACCGTATGTATCGCGGACCGAAGAACTGTGAAAGCAGCTTCCTTGCAAAAGAATGGCGATGTGAGCATCATCCGACCATCTTGGATCCTAGACTGTGTGAGGCAGAATGAGATTGATGCGGGCCTGCCAGACCTGCTTCTTCCCCTGGAACCTCGGCACATGTTTTTCACTACGCCCACTAAGGAGGAGGAGGTATTGACGAGTGTCGACCAGTTCAATGACAGCTACGCTCGGGATGTCACCAGGGAAGAGCTGGTCAATTTGCTTGATAAGATGAGCACGGGCAAGAATAGTTCCGATGTGCCCCCGAGAGGCGAAGCCACCAAGAAGCTTAGAGAAGTTATCCAAGAGAGAGTGGACGCAGGATGGGATCTCCCATGCGGGTGGCTTTTTCAGAACTTGATGTTCTTCTTTCCCGACCAGATAACGCAGGTTCCAGACGCCGGGGGATCGGAAAATCCCAGCTGCGGCTATCGACTATCCTTGGCTCGCAATACGGCCAGATTTGCAGGTGCCACCGTTGTCAATGATTGTGAGGACCCCTCCGTCACCCATGTGGTTGTAGATCCGGATACACCATCCACGGAGATCGCCACGCTAAGGAAAACTTTGTCTGCCCGGGCAGATCAGAAGATCCCTCACATAGTTACCACTGAGTGGATTAAGGAAAGCTGGGAGCAGCAGTCACTGCTTGATGAAGATAGATATCAGCCAAGGCCTGCTTGATTTCGACTGGGCCGTGCATTGTTGTCAAGTCAAAGAGGCTCTGTGATGACCTTCCTGAATCAACCACTGGGACCCCAGAACTAAGCGAGTCAAGGGAAGGAATTGATAGGATAGCTTTCGCCCACTGAATCCGCCCGAGCGGAGCTGGACTGCATGGGATTTGAGATACGATACTAGCCGATTGGCAGACGCCCTCCAATATAAGCTTACAGGACTATAAGGGATGACAAACAACAGAGAAACGCTGTAGATACGTCTTCGCAAATGAGACTTCGTACGAGATAAGTAAATTTGCTGTAGATACTAGATAGACAAATGGCGGTTGACGCGGTTGAACGTACAGACGACCACGTGACTGTTGCGAAGGACCTTTGAGGGGGAGAAAAAACTTGGAACAAACAAACAACTGACGGCTGGTTCACCCTCAGGCCCAGAGTACTGGCAGAGTGAAAGATGTGTAAGGAGTCCTAGCTTTACGCCAACGCCACCGGCTAGCAAGCTCAATAATCATCGGCGTCGGACTTGGAATCCTCCTGCTAGGCCCCACCGCCATCGCCGCCCATGAGTCGGACTACGCGACGTCCGACAGAGCCACACGCGATCAATCCCTCAACTATCCCCGAGAAGATGACCGAAGACGCCGGCAAACTGGTTGAATCAAAGAAGGGGAAAGTATCAAGCGCGTCTATTCAACCTGGACCTTTTGGGAAAGATGCGATCTCCGAGTGAAGCTGAATAACCAAGCATGGGGTTAGAAGCTTGAGTGCCCTCTTCTCAGATGTGATTGTTCGGCTCTTCTGTTCGCTGCTGCACATTGTAAACTGGCTGCGGGGTAAATCCTGGATTGATCGCCTAACAAAATGACGCATAAGGCACCTGGTCTGGAATCAATATAGATCAAGATAACTACTGATGTGCTATCCCAGCCTAGCTCTAATAAACACTGGGAGACCATTCTCTGTGTGTACTAGGCAGTCGAGTCTAGAAAGAGTTCACCCCTCCCAAGGATATAACAATACCCGCTATAACCCGGGCATCAATACCACTCCGCTGGCCAAGACTCCGTGCATAAAACAGGAAGAATTCAAGCGGGATGGAATGCGTTTGACAGGCCAAAAGAGGCCGGGT